TTGTGCAAAGTCCTCTGCGCACCCCTGGAGAAGATGGCAAAGCAGCTGAAGAATCACAGGGTTCCTACAAAAAGAAGTTTTCAAAGACTGCATGTCTGCGTGAGGGAATCTAGAGCTAAAAAATGTGCAAAGCTCTGCAGAAAGTAGAAAAATCTATCCTGTATGTCCCTATGGCTGCAACGGAGAAGAGCAAACAGAGTAGCAGCAAAGCATAAACATTTTAACCAAAATTATTCCCTGCGATGTATGTAGAACAGATGTGGACAAGGATTGCTATGAAAAGGTATCAGTATGACCATGAGCATTCACATTACTCCAAAAGCATTTATAATTGGTTTCAGGACCTAAGTTCTATAAAAATTTGCTCATGTGAGTAGTTGTATTCTTCTGTAATACAACTGTATTCTATAAGCTTATCTGGCCAACTATAGCCAAAATAGCCCAGCACTGATATCCTTTACTCACTTGAGAAGGATTGGGAGTAATTCCTTCTGACTTCAGCAGTGTTACTCACAGAAACAGGGTCCTACTTCTGCTCTCTGATTTTAAATTCTTAACCTGTTTCAAAGACACTAATGAATATAATAACAATTATTGTCAGATCAGTAAACAGTTCTCTGTATTTTAGAAGAATAACTATATCTAGCACACTGTGCTTCACATAGAAGGCAAGATTGTGAGATATTTCAGTTATTTTACCTACAAATTGCAATAACTATTGGTAATCTTGAAGAAAAATTAAGAATATCTGCGCAATACTCAGGTTTGAAGAAGAGGCTTCCACTGAAATATTCATATCCTTGTAACCAAGAAAAAAATCCTTATCATATGAGCTGGACAGGTCTTTTCCTGTAGTTTTCAGACCTTGATGTTTTATTGACCAAACTCCTTGCTTTAGACTTGAGCTCATGTTCTCCGAGGAAGTACAAGTGGTAATTATACGAGTCTTTCCTTCCCTGTCATAGGCAACATTCACAAGGGAGATTTACAACCTTCAGCTTTCAGATACGGAGACTGGTTGTTTAACTTCAGTGAGAAAAATTCTGACATGGTGAATAGCATCAGAATTGGAACAAATCCTCTAGCAACTGGCTACCTGGACAGCCCTGGGAGTTAATTATTATGGGTTTTTTTTTCCCTCTTCTTTTTCCTATAGTAACCCAAACTGAAAGATTGGTCAGAATTTATGTTGTTTTAGAAAACAGACTCCTTAGATATAATGCATTTTACTCCCTGAGGCAATAACAAATCTATCTATAGCAATAGCAAACTAACCTATAGACTGAATTATACTTATTCAATCATAACAAATACCATGAGATAAGTGATTCTAATGCAGAAGCACTATGACAGACTATCTTAAGAATTGGTAGGAATAGAGTACTGACCTAGAAACACAGTCAGGACAACTATATTTTAGCAGTTTGTTCATCCAAATTACATTTATCTTAAATTCTGATATTTAGAGGAAATGGTTTGGTTCCATGCTCTTGTACATGTAAGCATTTGCTCCAGAAGGAAGCAAGTGGAGTACAATCAGAAACCTACTTTTAATCAATAGTCTTTCAGTTCAGTGAAGTTTGGATTAGTCCCTTAATGCACACCCTTCTCATGACTGACAACAATCCTGCCTTCACATGTTTGATTGATGTAGGACAGGAGAGGGTACAGAGGGCGGGAGAGTTATGCACGAGGAATACGGCTGGTCTGTAATGACCACATTTCTGTACCCTTAGTGGATTGTAATATGGATCTTTTTATTAAAACAAAACAAAACTGTAAGAGCTCCAGGCAGATCTGGGTTCTCTTTTGGCCTGTGTTAACCTCTAACCAAAATCTGGCCATTTAAACAAAAAAAAAAGTACTTCAGCTGTTTTTATTTTTAGAAGTTTAAAATGAAATATAAAGCCCATAATAAAATGCATATGAGGACACAAATCAATAGACTTGAGAACTATATTAAGAACTACATTAAGAACTACCCAACCATATAGGTCTTCATTAACAAGGGTGTTCTCCTCATGAAATTCAGAAAATGCTCTTAATCGCTTGTACGCATGTTGTTGCTCATGATGTTATTTATTTCTATGGTAACCAAAGCAGTAAATACAGCAATATTAGACAACAATAATCAAGGAAAAAAATGTATTGCAAAAGAAGACAACTAAAAGCCAAAACAGAGGTGTTTAGATGATGGTGTAATTTGCTATAATAACTGTTTAGCTGCATATTTGGCAAGCCCTGGATAGCTCACTTATGAGTAATGCATTTGTCCAAATTACATTCAAATAAAAAATAGTTACCGTGCTACATTATCGTGCATTCTGCTCAGATATTTCCTTTCTATCGATTTTCCCACGACAAGAAGGCTGCTTACTGAACTCAGGTTAACCGCGGACTGGTGCTTATTTCTCTTGCGCAGCTTCTCACAAGTTGGTTAGGTGATATGGAGCCACACATCATCAGTCCTCCGCTATCTGGAGCTATCTAACTTCCTTGTGCAGCCTCCCACTCGCCTCTCCGCTGTCTGCTCCATCTGGAAGGAGCTGGCTGCTCTCCTCCAGCCCCGGCTCCCTGAGCGCAAGGCAGCCTGCAGCTGCCAGAACATCTGCTGTCTCCTGGACCCGCTGGGGTGAGTACCAAAAGCACGGCCTTTTTAAAGTTGGACAGTCGCCTCCATTAGAAACTGGATGAGTTCAAAGTTCTTGGATTTGTACTGAGACTTGTAGCTACATGGGAATATATGGTATAACTATCCGTAATGCAAATTCAAGTGCACATTTCAAAGGCATACATGCATTGTCTTTAGGATGCACTGGCATTTTGCCCACTCTTCCTCTGCGTCTGTGGTGATCTGGTTTTAGGATAGCTTCATTCTGAAGGCAGAATCATTTTGAAGAGCAAGAAGTGGAAGGCATGTAAAACCAAACAAGATAAGTCCTTGATTTTGCAACTGCATCCATCAAGGGTGGGCTTCTCAATGGGGCTACTGCTGCATCAGTGCCTCCAGGCCATACAAAATCTGTAGTGATGTGTCATGGACTACTCTTGGTGAAGGCAGAGGCTGTCTCTTGTTTGAAAAGGTGCATTTGAAAAAGAGGTGTCTTTTTTGTAAAGTTAGGAGCATGAAATAACATCACTCATCTCACAGGAGAAACACCTGTACAGCAGCCCCCACATCAGCTGTCCTTTTCATATGTGGGTCAAATCATGCCCTGGCAACATGCAGGGCTCCCACTGACTTCATGATGGGAAATGCATTACTTATTTAGAGCTGACTTGGCTTTATTTGGAATGATTTAATGCATTAGTTATTAAAAGTTTCATGTTTTGGAGAAGCAATATCAACAGGTGAAATACAGCCGTGCAGTTCTTTGATCCCCTGTTTGGTACTTTCTGACAGGTTTCTGCACAGTGCAGGACACAGCGTGCATAATTAGTGTGGTTCTTCCAGGGTCAAATCCTGGACCTGCAGCACATTGTGAACAATCAGGAGATGCAGTAGGTGTTCTGCAATCAGCTTTATCCAACTCGTGCAGGCACGCAGCTGTTTGGGGCTCTCAGAGTGTGTCTGAACTGACATGTTGGCTTGAAATGCAAGCCGACACGTGGCTTCATCCCCCAACTGTCTCCCACTGCTTATACGTTTGCTTGCTCAAACCTCGAGCTACTTTGGCTTAAGTCTGGAGTGAACAAACAGGCTCACTTAGGAAGAAACCTCAAGCTGAGGAGAGGCTGACCCTTATTCAGGCTCTCTCCTGTAGGGCTAGAGGAGCTCCTGACTGTAGGAACTCAAACTTCAACTCAGGTGAGATGTTCCTGCTGCCAGAGCCGCCCCCGGGGTTGCTCCCCTCCCCTGAGGCACCCAGCAGACACAAACACACTTCTCCTGCCCTTCCCCTGGGGCCCTCACAGCCCTTTCCAAAGAGGAAAGAGGGGACTCCTTACTGAAAACGATCTTACAGAAAATGGGGATAAAAAGCCTTTTACAGTCTCCCCAAATCCACCACCGTCCTCCTCTACGATGGCCTTAGTATGACGCGCTGGCACGTACTGTCCCCTTCACCGCGCAGGGAGGCAGGAGCTGCCTTTAAAGCAGGAAGTGATTAATGCTGAAAACAGAGTAAAAAATGTGTGTTTCCAATGGAGGGGAATGGAGAGTCTCCTAATAGGGGCACTGCCTGAATACAGAATAAGACCATTCTGAAAAATTGTGCAGGTCTAGAAAGAAGATAGAAGCAACTGCTACTCAATTTATAGTTTTGCAACTCAAAGGTAAGTAGGTGTAAGCAGAATACACAATAAACGTATATTTAGCTGTAGTTAAAAGTGAAACTTAATATCCTATGTTAGTACATAGTACTCTCTTACCAAGAAAACTAATTTATAGGTAAAGAAACAGAACTTAAAACTAAGAGACTGTGTGCTTTTAAATAACCTAAGTAAAATGCATACTTACTTACCTTTTATTCTCCTGCTGTGTGTGCCCTGAGCTGGTCCAGGGAGTTCTATGAGGTAAGAAATTCCTGTTCAACAAAAGTTCCTTTTCTAAAAAAAGTGAACATAATGGAAACGGGGAACCACTTACCAGGCAGCTGAAAAAGGAGCTGACTGTGCAGAGAATTTCACACCTTATGGCTTTTGGTCAGTAAAGTACATAAACAAAATGTAATTTTCTATGCAATTACACAGGGTCACACAAGAATATTATGTTTTAGAAACCCACTCAAAAGCATAGTGCTCTCTAAGAGCCCAATCCGGAAAATGGTTCCTCACTTTAGTAAAGTTGCTCGTAAGCATTTCTGGGAGTGGGGCCTAAGAGATGTTTCCCTTTTTATGCTTTCTTAAACAGTTTATGTGATAGTAACAACAGGAAGATAAATTACTTTGAATGGTAGCAATTAGAGAAATAAGAAGTGTGATAGATTTACCATGTGGAAAACATCTCCTCTCACATTTTCTTACAGTCATTAAACCTACTTTTAATGACACAACACTGATTTCAGAAAGAAACAAAGTTTATTTGATGAATATAAACAAGCTGATCAACACTAAATACTTCCCATACACATGATAACGATGTTATGAACTCTAAATACCTTGGTACTTTACACTTCTACTAGACATTAAATTACAATGACTGTCTAATACATGCCCACTGGTATTTTCTAGGAATTCCTTAGTTTCATATCAATGTCCTTAACCATATATCAATATCACAATCCAGAACATGCCACTCACTTGAAAAAATTATTACAAGAAGCACTATCAAATGAGGATCTAAGGTAAATAGGGAATACTGACCCATTGCTGCAGAACATCACATTCAAACGTCACCCTACACACACAAAAAAAACATTGCAGATATAGTTTGTGTCAACACATCTGAGGTCTTTTCATAAACACTGTTTAAAAAGTAAATTGAAACCCACTTTCAAATGAAAGTCAATGTTCAGGTACGTGCATACTGAATACACAAAATTCATTAAATACAAAATTCATACTGTACATTTAAATGAAAGAAAGAATGTGCAGTACAAGAGTGATCTCACATTAAAATAATAATCATTATCTTAAATGTTAACCAAAAGTTGGTTTGCTCCTTTACACTTACAGGGGGAAAAAAACCTACCAAACATTGCTGAAATAAAATAGTTCCCAACATCACAGTGTTTATTGTAAACCCCGAGATTCTATTTTAGTATATGAAAAGATTTTCTCCAAACATCATAGAGTATCACATGAAATAAAAAGAGAAAGAAAGAAAGAAAGAAAGAAAGAAAGAAAGAAAGAAAGAAAGAAAGAAAGAAAGAAAGAAAGAAAGAAAGAAAGAAAGAAGGAAAGAAAGAAGGAAAGAAAGAAAGAAAGAAAGAAAGAAAGAAAGAAAGGAAGAAAGAAAGAAAGAAAGAAAAAGAAAGAGAGAAAAGCAATGTTAGACAAAATTTTCCTCGAGGGGCTAACTTGTAGGCCCTCATAAAAGTTTAGATGAATACTCTCAACAACATGAGTAGAGCAAAAATGCCCTTAAAATAATATCTGTGACAAAATTGGCACACACATATAAATATCTAACTATACAGCTTTGTATCTGTGACCCTATTTCCCCCTAGTTTATTTCCTACTTCAAGTATTCAGTTGCAGAGTTAAGGTAAAGACCTGATTGTAAGAGACACAGACGATTGTCCCCTACTGCGACAACAAATTTGTCATCAGAAACTAGTTTTGTTGTCTGAGTTTCCAAGTGCAACATTTGTCATATGTGCTAAATATACTCCCAAAAGCTTTGCTGTTTCAAAAACAAAGATCTAAAATGCCATTGATAGTTAAAGGACAAACTTCTTAAACATGAATGAAATTGGGATTATCTATGTTATACTAATTCTATACATTTTACTCTATTTACTGAAGACAGTAGCATCCAGCAGGACTCCTGCTTGAATAAATTGCTCTTTGATTGCACCAAGAATTATGGTACAAATAAATAAAATATCATCTCTAGACAATAATTTTAAAGGGGTTACTATATGTATGGCTCATGTAGGATGTTTAGGGTTAATTGCACCGCAGGTTCAAAAAATATTTTTTCTAAATTCAGTGCAAGACTTTAGGAGTATCCATTTAGATTTCTCTTTTTTACAGCAGCAAAGAAAAACTACTAAAGATTAAGGCCACCCATGCTTAAATTTATTGTTTGTCCTTTAAAAATGCAGATACTTCTATTCCCACTCCCATCAGCATGGAAGCATTTCTTCCATGGACAAAAAGATGGTTCAATAAAACAGCCAAACATTTGCACGTTTGCCAGACTGACTGAAAATGTTCATGGAGCCATAAGGATCCTCTCCTTGAGACGTGGTAGAGATTTGTCTATCAGTTATATTCTCTGACTGAATGTAATGACTTCACATTTTTATTTTTCCTTGCATGTGCTTTAAATTTATTTTACTAGATACATTTTGTTGATACAAACAGCCTTTAAGTGCTATTTGTTCATTGTTATTTTCTTTAACATCTAAGATTCATTGGGATCCATGTTGGAGACTGTTTATCAATGCAGGAAACAACAACAAACAGTTCCTCATTTACAGGAGACCTAGTGCATATACTGTATTCACAGCAATCTTATCTTTATTTTTGTGGGTTTTTTTTAAAGAGTCCCAGCTTTTATTGTTGAAAACCTGTATGCATTTGGATGGTAAAAGGTTGATACATCCTTGTGTATATGTCCATATATACACATATATACGTATTTATATACACCTCAAGCTTTTACCATCCAGGAATAGATACATAATCTTATACTTATGCTCAAATTAGATGTCCTATGCATTGTCAGAGACACACACCATATTTTCATAAAGCTAATCTTTGTCATCAGTTATTAGTACCAAAAATTGATTTCATTTCCAACCTGGCCCAGAGCTTAACACCGGTTATATTATCAATGTTTTTTGGGTTTTATTTTGTTTTTAATTATTATTATTTTATCAGTAGATATAAGAAAACAGAGGAGGGTAAAGGCTTGAGTTTTATTTTTTGGAAAAGCCCACATCTAACTGGGGATAAGATTAATGCCAACACCCTTATATAGCATTTTACTAATACCTCTTTGATAATCTAGTGCAATAGAAGTGATACTTTAGAATAGACTAGGTAAAATCAGCAAATGCAGATACCACACCTAAGAGAATCTGAATTACTTATTGAAATCAATATCAATTTACCAAAAATTAGTTAAATAATCTGTTTAACTGAACTTAACTAAACAATAATATTCTGAACAGATGGTTTCTTTGTGGAAACAGAATAATTTGCAAGACCCATTAAAGACAGAAATGAAGCTCTTATAATTTCTGCTTGAGTCTCCTTCCTTATTTTCAAAAGTACCTAATTTCATAGTAGATTACAAAAAAATAATGGAGAAATGGCCAATTAATGCAGCATTTCATTAGATATCAACCTTAGCATTCATTTTCTGCATCTGTGATCTTCTCCAGGATATCACGGTCATATTTGGAGACCCAATGCAATAGATTATCATCGTTACCTTCCAGTGCTACATTTTTTCCTTCCTCCTTTGCTAGTTCCTCTGACAACTGTAATAAGGCAACAAAATATTCCAATTAGTAACATGATTGAAGCATACGAAACATCCTAGTTCTCATCTAATCAAGCTTCTCATAGATATCAGCAGATATATTGGTTTTCTAAGGACTATGGATTAAGTGAGGATTTAAATTTGATTTGAACTCACTTACTATGTTCACAGGGTGGCAACTAGTTTTACAGTTGATTTGTATGACAAGATTCCCTGTCAATGAGAAAGATTTTAAGTTCCAAAGACGTGAAATTCTATTGTGCCTGTGATTCTGTAAATGGTGAGTCTTCTGATCTTATCTATAAGCACAGTAGCTTTGAAGTGGAAATACTATTAGTAAACTCGAATATTTTTCTTTGGAAACCTAAGAAATCATCCATTTCCTCTCAGTTCCATGGCAGGTGAGAATCTCTAGGACCTCTGTAGGACCTCTAGCAACTCTCCAGAACTGACGGTACTGAAAGTGACATTTTATAGTTATATTTTAAGCACTTTAAGTCCACTTTAATTTACAAAACAGTGGAGAAAGGTTTTACAGATACAAGAACCTCAGATTTATAACAGTTAAAAATATGCAACAACCTGTTATGCGTTTTTCAGCCATGCAGTCACTAATCAATGACTGTTGCTCTTCATGGCTTGGCTGGCATTGCTGAAATCTGGGAGACTACGAGAGGTCACTGGTGTAATTCTGAATCAGTTGATGGAAAGAGCCTTCCTGCTTTCAATGGGCTTTGGATGAGGCTCTGTGTCTGATTGTAAGTGACTACAGAGTGAGGCCTGAATGATTTTTATTGTTACGCTAGTTCTGTTGCAAGCAAACGGCACAGTATTCTTGAACGGAGAGCAGTGAATTAGTCTTATTCGCATAATCAGTATATCAGATGAGTGGGAGGAATTAAAAGATTCCTTTAGAGGGCAATTGTTCATTTATCTACTGACTTCGCTTCTAGAAAAGTGGACATGTATTAAGTATGGGATTTGCTGTTATTGCCCTTGCATTTATGTAACCTTAGATGTTTCCAAGCCATCCAATTTTATGAAAAAGAAATTGCCATAGAATGCTTACACTTTTGTATACAGCTGAAAAATTGTTATGTTTTGTAAATAGAATTAGTTGACTAAAATGCCCCTTTTAAATTCTAGAATCTAATATTTATCAGAGTAATTATTCTGTGAGAAAAGTGAAACACTTTACGGAATTAACTCACAAATTATTTTAAATCCCTATTTTCAAGTTCATGTCTTTGTGGCAAGTACATATAACGGTTTATGTAATACAAACTTAGAAGAATAGTTTTACTTCTCCAATGAGACGTTGGTACGATTCTTCTGGTTAAAACACTTAGGGACTAATCCAAAGCCCACTGAAATGTGGAAAGGTTCCCACTGATTTTAACAGGTTTTGGATCTGGCCCTTGAATGGAGAAAAAATGACTTCTGCAGAGCTGGAAAGCCAGGGAGTTCCTAAAGTAGATCATGTTACTAGTTCTGGCACATAAAATCTTTGCAAACTTTTTATGAAAACTGTAAGTCAGAGCATGCATTACGTTTTGTGAACTGTGCATAGCTCCCATTCTTTTGTGTGCTGAGTATTTCTTAATCATCATTCAAAGAGATATATAGGCATAGGAAGCACCCATATAAATTAATAAGAGTACATTCCAGAAACCGTAGCACAAAAAGTCTCTATTTTTTTTAACACAATCACAGCAAATCTTCAATATACTTGATATTTTACAAGCCGAAGTTCCTTTGCAATTAACACTCATTTATGCTCTTAAAAATAAGAACCTAGAATAAAGTGTCCGATCTCAGGAACAGCAGCAAATGACAAAACACAATCTCTCTCTGGCTTGCTCCTCAAATTTTCTTTGGAGTTTTAGTACAGAATGAAACCCCCGCATAAACCCCACCCTCTTAATCAACCCACTCATTCATCAGGAAACCATATATGTATTGGAAGTGTAACAAATACTTGTTCACCACAGGTAGGAAATGCAAAGTATTTCTTGAGTAAGTCAAATAAATATGTAAAAGGATATTGCTGTCAAATACCAGCTGAGGTTGAGTAAATTAAATTTATATTTGTTTCTTCAATGCTGTACTTGGTATAGGTCACTGAACCTCTAAAATAGAAATAAAATTTGGTAACATACATTGGGCCTGAGATTCAGCAGTGTTCCAGCTGAAATTAAGGTCTTATGAGTTTGGCACCTCTGACAGTCCATTAGATACCAGTCAATGAAAACAGCAGAAGGATGTGAAGATATAAAAGTGTAGTAGCCCACAAATATTTGTTCAGATTGTTTTTCCTTTGGATAAAGACACCTGCCTGATTACTACTTTTTACCTCCAAACCTTTCCTCTCAGCAGTGATTTGCAGAAACAAGCTAGAGAGGGTGGGTAAACACAAAGGGGTTAAAGGGGAAACTGTTTAATAACAGTAGTAAAATGCAGGCTATTTTTGACATCTGGGTTAATGTCCATTATGCTCCATATGCTTTCCAAATGTTTGCAACAAGCACCCAGATACAAAAACAGATACCCATTCACATAGGCTTAAATTGCCCTCTCCTAACCTGTTACACATGGTACCTACATAAAAGGCCAACAACTGATATGGTAATTAGTGAGTCAGAAAGAGAGGGAACAGCCAGTTTATTGCAGGGAATTGGTATCTGACCAAATGTTAGTAGACAAGGATATCATTAATGAAAACCTGTTAGGGCTACTTCTGCTCCTTAATCTACAACAAGGCATCTGCATTATAATGTGACATCTTTTAAAAAGCTATCAGGATGAATTCCTCAGTTTCCTTCTCTAGACTCATTCATCATCACTGTGACCAGACTACCAACAAACGATAGGAAATTATTTCATTTTGTAGAAACGAGGAACTAGACTGAAAAGCAGTAATTAAAAAATAAGGCTATAACCCATAAAGTCTTTCTCAAGTGAACTCCCGCAACTCAAGCGTGCCTCTTGCAACAACAAAATCTAAATGACATGGAGAAAAAAATGCATTCTCAATTTTTACTTTTGTCTGTCCAAACCATGCAAAGAATGACATAATTAACTAAGACAAATACCTGGCATGGTACTGTTCTGAATTCTGTCCCTGCCACTAGCTCATTGTGTGACTAATGATAAAGTCGTATCATTTTTCTCTGCCTAACTTGCCCTTTGCTATAGCAGGGACAACACA